ACATCTGGTTGACCAATCAAATGATCTCAGAATCGCCTCAAATCACCACCATTGGAAAGATCTCTTAGTCTAGTTTTATTTTGATATTATATCTAGACGAGATTCTGGATAGATTGGAGGATATGATGTGAAATGTGCATGCATGTCACTGTTAGCATACTGTTACAATTTCCAGAAATGTTACTGTTGTTGTACTGAGACTTTGCTTGACTTATTGAAGTCCAAATGACACGAAACTACTGCCTTTGGAAAGATATACGAGTCTAGTAAAATATTTGATTTTACCCATTGCTGAAATTCTTTACAAAAGTGAAGTCATATTTCAAAATGGGAAGGTATATCATTATTGACTGTTTTCCTGGATTTTTCATTAATACCATCGTGGCCACTGATTTCAGCTAACCAAACCGGGTAGCTGATCCGGGTAGCGCGAAAGGAGGATCCTCAGTTCATGAAAGTTTTCGAGGAAATAATGTTGGATGGTAAGGAGGACTTTGTCTTGGGCAGCGATGAAATGTTCAGATTCAAGGGACGGGTTTACGTTCCTGTAAAAAGGGCTATTTTAGAAGAGGCACAGCACACCCATTATTCAGTGCATCCAGGGAGCATGAAAATGTATCAGGATCTAAAAAGAGTCTTTTGGTGGAATAACATGAAGAGAGAAGTAGCACAATTTGTTTCCAAGTGCTTAACCTATCAGCAAGTGAAGGTTGAACATCAGAAACCTGTGGGACAATTACAACTCTTACCTGTGCCAAATTGGAAATGGGAGCACCTAACTATGGACTTCATGTACGGCCTGCCGAGATCAAGTTCGGGGCACGATAGTATTTGGGTCATTGTAGACCGGCTCACTAAAGCTACTCATTTTTTGCCGGTCCGTACTACTTATACCATGGATAAGTTGACCCAATTATACATCAAGGAGATTGTAAGACTACACGGGGTGCCTGTTAGTATTGTGTCCGACAGAGACTCCAGATTTACTTCAAGGCTTTGGAACAGCCTGCAGTCAGCTATGGGGACTAAACTCCTGTAGTCGGCTATGGGGACCAAACTTACTTTCAGTACAGCTTTTCATCCCCAGACTGATGGACAATCTGAAAGGACCATACAGACCCTGGAAGATATGTTGAGGGCTTGTGTTTCAGATTTCAAGGGAAACTGAGGTGATCACTTGCCCCTGATAGAGTTTGCTTATAATAACAGTTTCCAGGCCAGTATCCAGATGGCACCTTTTGAGGCATTGTATGGGAGGAAGTGTAGATCGCCATATGTTGGGATGAGGTCAGTGAGAGAAGAATGTTGGGACCAGAGATTATTCAAATGACCTCAGAAAAGATCACTTTGATTCGGGAAAGACTTAGAATAGCTCAAAGTTGGTAGAAGAGTTATGCCGACAATCGGAGAAGGGAACTGGAATTTGTAGTGGGTGATCGGGCTTTTTCTGAAAGTATCACCAACTAAGGGCTTAATGAGATTTGGCAAGAAGGGGAAACTGAGTCCACGGTTTATTGGACCCTTTGAGATTTTAGAAAGGATTGGAGTCATGGCATATCGATTGGCCCTACTTCTGGAGTTGGCTAATGTTCATAATGTGTTTCATGTGTCATTATTGAGAAAGTATCAGCCCCATCCATCCCACGTCCTAAAGTATGAGCCGATCTCGATCAGGCAGGATTTAACATTTATAAAGCAGCCAATTGAGATTCTGGATAGAATGGCACAAGTTTTACGCAACAAAGAGATTCCCCTAGTCCGAGTTTTGTGGCAATATCATTCAAAGGAAGAATCAATGTGGGAACGAGATGATGAAATCTGGGAGAACTTCCCCTATTTATTCGATTGACTATTTTGAGTACACAATCCCTTTTTGAGGGGGGGATGACATGACAACCCAGATTATTCTCGGCGAGGCGAAGTGCGCGAGGCGGAGTGCGCGAGGCGAAGTGCGCGAGGCAGAGTGCGCGAGGCGAAGTGCGCGAGGCAGAGTGCGCGAGGTGGAGTGCACAAGGCAGAGTGCGTGAGGCAGTTGTGCACAAGGAGGCAGAGAAAAGTTGTATGCCAAGTGGCAATGATTTGCTGAGCCCATAATAATGTTGTCCCCCATGTTTGCTCTCTCTCTCTTCATGTTGTCCTTTAGTTTTGCAAGAATGCCACTTGTCCCATGCTGCCCTTTCCTCTTTTTGTAAATAGAACCTTTCCCATCCATCTCAAGAGCTTTGGCCCTCTCTCTCTCCCATGTTTTTCTCTCTCTCCCTCTCTAGAACACTTAGAGCTTCAAGCTTTGGAAGCTTGACCTTGAGGAGGGGCTTGGTGGAGGGTAAACTTGGAGTTCTTGTGAAGTAAGTGGATCTCTACCCCCTTGCACCAAGTTGTATGAGGCATGAATTAAAACATGAATAAAGTTAAATGGTGAATGAATTGAAGCATGATTTCAAGTATGATTTTTGGCATGAGATTGCATAGGAATTGTGTTAGAGGAATAGAGTCGTATGTGTGTTGTTGCGCTCTGGTTTTCCAGGAATTTAGTCCTTCTTCGTGTATCATGCTATGCACTGCTGTGATATCAGTTGAGTCTGAAAATTTGTGGGTTGTTGCTCTTGTGAGTCTAATTAAGACTGGTTTTAGTCTCATGTTGTTATCTTGAATAATTTATAAGTTACTGAATGATCCTTGATGCATGCCATGGCTGGACTGTGAAAATCTAGGGACTGTTCATAATTTTGTAACACTTGGTTGATCGATCAAATAATCTCAGTATCGCCTCAAATCACTACCATTGGAAAGATCTCTGAGTCTAGTTTCATTTTGATGTTTATGTCTAGACGAGATTCTTGATAGATTGACTGATATGATGTAAAATGTGCATGCATGTCACTGTTAGCATACTGTTACAATTTCCAGAAATGTTATTTCTGTTGTACTGAGACTTTACTTGACTTATCGAAGTCCAAATGACACGAAACTACTGCCTTTGGAAAGATATATGAGTCTAGTAAAATGTTTGTTTTTACCCATTGTGGAAATTCTTTACGAAAGTGAAGTTATATTTCAAAATGGGAAGGTACATCATTATTGACTGTTTTTTTGGATTTTTCATTTATACCACTGTGGTCACTGATTTTAGCTAGCCAAACGAAGTTCATTTTTGACCAAACCACAGTCATTTGAAAGATCTTTGAATGGGCTAAAATTTGCATGTGGAAACTATTTTTGAAAAGCTTCCTAGATTGAAAGTTATACCTTGCTTTATGAAGATATGCCCCGTGGGCAGTATTGATGAAAATCAGAACTATCACCTTGTTTGCCACGAATTTTTGAACCACCAAATGGAATCTAAATGCTTTCAAATTGGTTTGTTAGAAAGATATACGTTTTGGCTTAAAATTTTATTTTGTAACCGTCATAAGTTGCCTTACGGTTTGAATGTCATAATGATTTGAAGCAGGGTACATTGCTGTCCACTGTACACAGCAGGGGGCAGTTAGTTAACCCTCATTTCCTTGAACCTTTAAGAGGTCAAACGGAATCCTGTTGTCTTTATACCACTCCCAAGTGAGGGATAGGTGTATTTGGTACGAAATTGATTTTGGAACCATCTTCAAACTCTAAACGGTCCAAAAGTTAAAACCCCAATTGCAAGCGCACGTACGCATGCATGATAATGAAGTTATGCTTTGCTGTGACATGGAAGCATGATTATGATGAATGCCCTGTTGCGATATGAATATGATGAATGCCCTGTTGCGATATGAATATGATGCATGCCCTGTTGCGATATGAATTGCACGAGCTTATGCTATATGTGAATAGATACCTACTGTGTGAATGATGGTATCATAATGCTTATGCTATATGTGAATAGA